AAGTTAACAAGTGTGTTATTTTTTAAATCTGTTCGATCACAAGAAATTTCTATCCATTGCATTTTTTCTTCATGAAATAAAATTTCAGGTACATTTGAACAAAATGGATTTCTGATCCAATTTTCTTTTCCATAACCCTCAGGAAAATACATGTTGAAATTATTTGTCAATGAAAAACCATGATTTTTAATGTCGGACACTGTAATTCTTTTATTTTCAGTTAGAAAACTTTCTAAAAGGGAAAAAAAGCTCTAAAATATTATTATCCAATTCTTGGACTATTAGCTCGAGTTTTTTTTTACCATTTCAGTTATTTTTATCTCTAATGGTAAACAAACTAACTTTCCAAACATCCTTCCTTTAACTTTTCCTTTAACTTTCCAAAAATATCAGCTAAATATGCTAAACGCGCCAACCATAATTCCCAAAATAAAATTTTTGTAATTCAAATTTTGAATCACAGAGAAAAATTTGAATTTCTGATCGAAATTCATTCAAGACAATTTAAACTTTTGCCTCTTGATAATCACCTTAGTTCGGAATATAACAAAAGAGTTTCATGTTTATTGCCTATCTCTTGGCATAAAATAGTAAATATTCTTAAATTTAAAAGATCGGCTTTTAATAAAATTAACAATTTTCACAGTTTGATACAAAACGATTTTCAGGTTTTCGGGGAGTGTTTTGGCTGCTATGGAGCAGTGAGTAAATTTTGTTTCAGGTGCGACATTCTTTATTTAAGAAATAGCATCGAAATGTTTTCCTGTTAAAGCCCGAGCTCCGTAACTATATACGGCAATGCACTTATTCTAAGGAATATCATTCCCAGACATAAAATTGTCAATTACTTTAAAAATTTTTGCAGTTGCTCTATAATGAATAAATTCACAAAATAAATACTCTTCGGCAAATCTTCTTCGAAATGTATGTAAACTAATAGTTGAATAAAGTTTGTAATATCTGTACTTTCATCCAATTCCAATGCGAAATACTCATTGTGTTTTCGTTTTTTGAAAAAGTGTCTCTTTTATGGAATTTCCCATTTCATGAATTTGTCGATATTCTGTATCATTTGATAACGAAATAACTAAGCTCTTTAGCCGCTTTTTCGTTGAACAATGTTAAAAAGAGGTCTTTAGCTGCTGGTTTTCTTCAATAGTGTGAGCTTGCCCAGACTTGGCAATTCTTAGACTTACTAGGTAACTAACTTCCAAAACGTTTTCACTTGACTTAACAAACCCTTTCATTATTTGTTTACTATTTTTGAACTCCGATAATTTTGTCTTAAAATGTTCTTCAGATTTATCCTTTAAATTGGTATGCTTAGATTCAAGATGCCTTTTAAAAAACGATGGTTTTATACTTTGATTGGATAATAGTTCACAGCAAACAACACATTGAGGTTGAGGGTCCATTTCTTCTCCATTAAAATAATAAATAATAAATAATAAATAACTTTCATTATATTTTTTATAAGCATTTTTTTTTCAATGTTCGTACTGCTAGTAAATTGTCTTGGTTCCATCACCTGTGAATCATCACTTTTCCGCTTAGTTAATCCCAGCCATTTTCCCATGTTTAAAATCTAGGTTTTTTTTTATTATTATTTTTTCACAAATATTTAAATGCACAATATATTAAGAGTTCTTCAAAAGCAAACGACGATATTCTCAAATCTCGTAGAAAAGTAAGGAATGCAAAGCAACAAAAAGACAAAATACCTGCTGTTAGAGAGAACAAATCGACGTTAAAAATTATTCTAATTGAAAATAGAGCAATATGAGCGTGCAAATTGTTGCGACATAAAATGCAGACATGCTAATAAATCGATAAGCTCGAAAATCATTAATGAAAAATTGCTTACGATTAAGAAACCTAACGAAATGCAGGGCAGGTGCATAATGGAAAAGCAACTCCTTTAAGTGTAAGTGGGAATTTTTTTCATCGGGACTTAGATAAGCCTTAAGCATATGAGGGAAATAGTTATAATAAATAGCAAAATTTGTATAATTCAGAAATTTCCTCAGCACATGGTAGGAGTAAGACAATTTTTAGAGTAACAGCCTGTCTTTAGCCTCCAATCTCATGACATATCGACAATAGTTTATAGCGGACCTAGGGTAAGTTTTATGATGATAGCCGCGAATTTGAAGTTTTTAAGTATCGAAATAAAAAGCGAAATTTTCTAATTAATGGAATTTGTGAAGAAATGCGGAGAATAAATGAAAATGATATAACAGAAGTATTCCTTTGTGATGGCAATGTCTTAATAATAAATCAATTAATCAGTTGTATGATTCCAAATCTAGAAAATTGCGCTAGCGATAGTGAAGAAACCGAAGAGAAGTGCTGATAATGAAAATGATTCGATTGCCAATTTAGTGGGAATTACCGTATCTGCCGGCGTTATAAGACGCACCGGTCTATAAAACGCACCCCTTTTTTATACGCAATTTTGAAAAATAAAACTTTATTACTGATCATTATATTAAATTTACAGTGTGTTAAATAAATATAAAGTAATGCAAATACAAAGTAATACTTTCTGCAAATACCTAGTCTATCTGGGAAAGAACACCTTTTAATCTTCTTCGTCAAAACCCAGACACTCATCTCCAGAGCTAAATGAAGAGTCACTTGAAACCTCTACTAAATCAGCATCTGAGTCCTCATACATCAAATTATCTTCTGTACCATCCAGTGCATTACTAATGCCACACTTAAATGATTTAACCACTGTCTCAGTTTTCCCAGCATCCCACGAAGCTTTGATCCATTTACAAACGTGCAAACCTCTTTCTTCTTCCAGCTGTCCTGCAACTTTTTCTCCACATTCGTCTGACATCTTTTGCGATATTTTTGTTTTATTCCGTATGTATAGCTGGTGTCTCTTTATGAATCTTGAACACCATGATGTTGATTCAGTAAAATCGGCAATCCCTCTATCAGTCGCTATCGCTTTCGTTTGTTGAATAATAATTTTTGTAGGGCACTGAAAGTCCTGCTTTTCTGTGGTCTAAAATCCAAGTATTCAGCTCTGCCTCAAGTTCAGGCCATTGTGCAGTTCCCCGTCGTAAGATATGCTTAAACGAGGTTGCGAGGTTTAAACTTCGTCGGAGTTGCTTTTTGTAGATCCTCTTTCTAATTCCGCCAAGTTCTTATTCTCAGTTGGGGAGGGGGGGGGCGAAATGCCTCTCAGTAGTCCTGCTTCCATGTTCTTTAGCATACGCAATCACACGTAGCTTGTATGCTATGTTATAGCAATACCGACGTTGATTTTGAGCCATAACTTGCCAATAAATAAAAGAAAATTGAACAGTAGAAATTTCATACACTTGAAAGTCGTTCACAAAAATTGAAAAGTTTAAATGCACCCAGCTGTGATCGTCGATAACAGTGCATGCGCATTCACTGAACTCTGCGTAACTAATATTCTCACATTCCGTAAGGAAACAAGAAAAAATTCCATAACTCTGAATACAGGAAATTTTCAGAAATGAATGTAATCAAAAGCTGAGTATTGACATATAAGACGTAGTATCGATGTATAAGATGCACCCCGTTTTACAGGCCTATTTCCAAAGAAAAAATGTGCGTTTTATACGCCGGCAAATACGGTAATCAATACGTCTTATACGCCGGCAAAAAAAGGTAATTTCAAGACTTCGTAACTGGATAAGAAATCATGTCTACCTATAAAATTAAAAAAAAGTATTAGCACAAAATGGGAAATAAATTAAAATATCTTGCATTGAAAGGAAAGCTTAGTAAAACAAGCAAATAAATACTAAACACTTTTTAAAGTGTTTGATTCTACTAAATTCATAATGCATTCATTTTTAATTTTTAAAATTTTTACATGTCATCTTATTAGATTTAAACCAGCCCATTGAAATCAGACTTATCCTTAAATAATTTAATTAATTCAATAGCCGCAAACAAAATTAGCAATTTAATTTCTTTCTTTCTTTCTTTCTTTTTTTTTTTTTTTTTTGTTGTTTGTTGTAAGAATGGTATAATCGTCTCCTCAAACCTCGCGAATCTTTAAAAAAAAAAAAAAAAATTCTATAATTTATTATTCGAATCTTTTGGATTCTAACCTAAGGAATCATTAAAAGTTTTAGCTCAAAACATTGGAAAGATTAGTTTTACTGACATTTAGTAGAAGTGTTCATTATAAAAAGAACGCGATTATTGCAATTTCAATCGTACGAATATCATACGTTTCTGTTCTAATTGAACTAAGTGTTGTATACTATACACTTTTATTCATATCTATGCTATGACAGAGAAAGTTCGTAATTTATTCCAATTTATTTAGTGCGCTAAAAGCTTTAGAACCTTTTTCCTACATTCAATCCATCTGATGTGCAAATCCTAATGCTAAATTTAAATTTAAGGCGTCTTGAGTATTAGATTCTATACCTGGGTTCCTAGACTAAGAAAAGAAAGTAATGAACTCGCAGATATCTTAGTGCTGTTTGCTGTTGAAATACCTAGTCGGCTGGCCCTTCTCAAAGATATCGGTATCGTCATCAAGCAGATGACCTGGATCCCTTCAAAAATGGATTACGTGGAATATCATTAAGTTTGGGTATGTAAAGATAAATTTGGGCTTCAGTGTATTTAAAATTATCAAATTAACTAATAATACGTTATTAATTATTATTAGAAATTTAATTAAATAAAAATTAAAACTACTTAAATGTTAAAAATTATTTAGCACTTGCAATGAAAATATGAGAATAACTGAAGAATCATTTGTAATTTTGAAACCTATTTCCTAATCTCAAGAAAATTTGTTGTTTGCAGAATATCTGCAGTTCATTCTCGTTGATGTGTGATAAAATTACTATTCTAATCACAGCGCATATAATTTGAATCTAATCTACTAATTTATGCACTACAATTAGAGTAGTAAAGTATAAATATTTTGAAACATTTGATGTTAAGTGACATAAACACCAATCTAATAATAAAATAATAAGCAAACACCAATCTTATTATAAAAAAGCAGTTTAATAATTTATTAATAACTATATACAAGTCCCACAGAGTGATCATCTGAGTTCTATGTACATTTATAATCAATGAGCAGAGTAGAAACTGTATAAGTAACACTTTGCACTTTTCGCCGAGCGCCGAGTTGCCTGGTGGTCAGTGATGCAAAAGACTTCGAAAGGATTTCAATTTTAAGTCATCGACTTCGGCAGTTTTTAATTTAACTTTTTGGACTCAAATGCCAGTATAAAATTATTATTTAAACATGTATGAAAAACATCTGATTCAAAGGGATGGAACTTGGTGTTAAAATATTTTATGAAATCAAAGCATTCAGAAACATTTGTGATACTCTGTAGCAATAGCTATTCTGCACGAAAAATATTTCAGATGGAGAAAAATAGGTTTTGAAGTACACTTTTATAATCATAAGATACGTTTTTTAAATTTTGAAGATTTTAATGTAAAATGTTTCATTTGGATACATTATTGAAAAGTTTTTTTTTTAAGCTTCGGGGAACGGAATTTTGTTAAGAAGAAAACTATTTTGATTTCTCTGTTTGCTACATATAGTCACGCCTTCGTATTTTTATTTCAATATTTGAAATTTATCACAGCTCAATGTTTTTAATTAAAGAAATAAATTGTTCAAAATTAACAAAACTCTCAAGTAGTGAAGATAATTGTAAAAGTATGAATTACAGCATTCTGAATGCAACTGTGGGAGCGCTACCGCTAACAGAGATAATGTTATAAATGCGAAGTATAAAATAAACAGTGTTCTCTCCACTTACAATAGAGCCGACCATCAGAAGGGTTACGCCTGTGCTACTACAATGTTTAAATGCACACGCATTGCATTGATAAAAAAGTGGGAATTTTTATTGTTTTCTTTATCCTTTTCAGTTCTATCTGATAAATACATACTATATAAGGAATAAAATTGTTTTCTTTCTGTTATGTACTGAAGATTAGGCTAAAATCTCAAAATCACATTAATACTCAAATGAATTCCTTTTCAAATAATAAACGAAAATTCCTGTATTTGATTTACTTGCATTCCAGTTTTTATAAATATTAGTAGTTCGTGGGAAAAAAAAGGAATTGTGCTTTACACAAGATGCTGGGTACAAGATAAAACAATATACTTTTTCTCGTATATTGTTTTATCTAAGAGACATAAGAACACTTGTGAAATGCAAAGAAAATATGGAATGAAACATAAATAAATCATTTCAGAAATGCTTAAGTGGGTTAAAAAGTGATTGATGTTTTCATGAACAATAATTAATTGTGAAATGCAACCGTAGCATAATTAAAATACGTACGCTATACAATAAAATCCTGAAAATCTTTTACTGTATAAATTGCAGCTGTTCTTAAAATATTGTTTCTGTGAGTTATGTCATTAATCTCATTGACATGTAAATATTAATATAAGCTTCCTTTATTGCTGAAAATTCATTGACTACTTTGCAAAAAGATTTTATCATAAATGTCTTTTCAGCTTTCAGGAACTTTAGAAGTGAAGAAAGGATTTGATTCTGTTGTAGAAATTCCTGAGAACTGTATTAGAGTCATTTGTAGATTTTTTTTATCACATTAAGTTTTCTTAAACAATTAAACTGCATTTTTCTTCAGTCATTTTTTAATATAGGGCTTATTTGATCATTAGAGCAATTTTTTCCCATATAAATCTCTCTAAAAATGGCTTGGACCTTCGAAACCAAGATTTTTCAGACTTATAATTATTCCGAAATAAGAAATCTTTTTAAATTTCTAACTTAAAAATAATTCGATTTCTGTTAATAAATCGAAGTCGATTATTAAAAGAAGCTATTTGCTGTATGTATTTTAGCTTTTTATTTCATGTATTTTATTTTCTTAGAATCAAAGACTTTTCCTTTGTGGATAATACTGAAATGAAGGGAAACTTCTTAGAATCAAAGAATTATGATACATCAATTACAGAAGATTTTCTAGCAGAGATTCTACCTCTTTTAAGCAAACTTAAATTCTTGATTTGTTGAAACTATCTTGTACACAACGGGATTCTCACCATACTGCGACTGACTGTCCTGTTTTTAGTGATATAGCTAAACCAGAAAATAATCCTATATCATCACACTTATTATATGTTTTAATTACCTTCATATTAAAAACGAATAATTATATCTGGAACTTCTAATTTGTCGTAACATATCCATTTATGTGTCTGTTTCTCATCTTTGGTTGGGCAGCAATGGTATTTTCAGTTTTCTTAATGAAAGAGTATTGTACAGCAATCTTTACAGAGTCAAATATATAAGAATTCATTCTAGCCAATTCTTTTTTAAGAAAGCACATTCAAATCATGAATGTTTAAGTTGTTGCATAAAGCAAGATGATTGAATTAACAGAGATTGGACATTTGAATCTTGAGAATTTTGAAAAAGATTCGAGAATCAAAAACACGCATTAAGAAACTCGATTTCCAGTCTTTTTTTTGTGTGTGTGTGTTGGGGGGGGGAGGAAATCATTTGTAGACTGTTTCAAATCCTAACATTTAAAAAAACCTTTAAACGGTTCAACTTTAAATTTTGAGAGCATTACTTTTTTCTGATATCCAATAAAATGCTCATTAAAAAATATTTAAATAAGAAAAAGTACAGCTTCACCTATTCATCGCTACCTTAACCACCAGTATCAGTTTAGTTTACTGTGGCAGATTAAACAAAAGCAGAATGATCCCAACGCGAGTTTAAATGCTAATTTTCTTAAAATAAAATCTCTATTAAAAATTTCAGTTTTCAAGATGTCTAAGAAAGTTCAATGTTCTTTATGAACTCACTTTATATGAAATAAACATAATTTCTGCTTTTGTTTTAATTTTCGGGACAGAGTTTAACGTCATATGCTTAATGTTCAGTTGCGTTATGTTTCAAAATAATCGGCTTTCCTCCAAACTAGTTTTGACTTAGAAGGATGCCAAAAATTTGCATTTTTTCTAGAATATTTATTGTCAAATTATAGTGAGAAAATAGATAAACATCCAACAGTTTTAATTTGGTATTTAATTTCGTAAATTTAATTTAAATTTTGATAAATATAGGTGTGTTTTTAAGAAATGTATTCCTAAATTTATTTTTTAGGAAACGAGGATTTCAAACTTTTCTTTGGATAGAAACTTTTAATAATAAGTATTCTCACTGTTATATGAAGTTAAGACGAGGCTCGAAAGTTGTTTAGGATTCGGGTGCAAGAAAATTTAGGATTCTTCCCGTCTCTGATATAAACTTCTAACACCAATACCTAATACCACTAACATCTACCACTAGGATACAGGCAGATGATAATGAATATAAAATGTTACGGATACATTGAATATGTATCCTTAATTGAATATGCATTGCCAAGGAATGTTAAGGAACATTATACAGTGGAGAAAAATCATGATTAAAATTGGAAATAGGTTACACTAACCATGCTTACTATTACGCGTAGGAGAAATATACTATTTAAAATAAAGTTAAAAGAGTCTCTATTCACAATGTGCTAAATTTTACACCGACATCTTAGATCTAGGTCTAGGTCATTTATTTATTTAATATTATTTTTTATGCAGAAATAATTTTATGATACAGTTCCATGTTTCCACGTACGTGTAAGGGTAATTGAAATTTTAGAAAGTCAAAAAGTTATCTATAAAAGCTATTGCCAATTATTTAACCAGCAAGACAAATTTAATTTAAAATATTTTGTGTAGTGTTAATTTGATAGCATAATAATGCATGAAATGTTTTTTCGATATATCGTTAAAAGCATGGTGACAAAATAATCACATTTTACTATGCGATATGATCAACTGTAAATTATATATTTGTATATTTGGTTTAATTCCAATTCCGACTCAGACTTCCTCTGTGTGCCGCGATTATCGAGTATTTTACCCAATATATTCCGGCTCTTGAAAATAAATGCCATAAGAGCGCGTAACGTGAAATACTTCTGCAAAGCTAGTTCCATGAAGGGTCAGGATCAGAAGTAAGAGTGTGTTTTCCTTTTCCCAGTACTGATATTTATTCTATGTTTTTTAGCGGATTTATTCTGTCCATCAAACTGCCTCAGAGGCAAATAGGTAATAGACACTAACGTTTAGTTGAGTTTCCATTATATTTAATGTTGGTAATGTTTTATTTTTTGCAATCTATCAACGGAACTTTAATTACATTTATGTACTTTACATTAATATCACACAACATGTAGCCTTTACTATTAACCGCGGATACGAGGGAAGTATTACATATCGGGGGGGGGGGATGAAAAATTACGTGTATTTCTCAACGCATGATTTCGTTGAGATTCATGCGTTGAGGGGGGGGTTGAAGAATTGCGTGTATTTCTCAACGCATGATTTTATGCAATTCACAAGCATATTCAGTGTGCCATTAATAAAAGAGCGAAATATCCAGTGAATTAATTAATTTTCACTGAACTTGTAAATGCTATCACATATTTAAACAGTAAATATCCGACATTTTCATGCTCGTTTCTTCAACACGAATTAAGAAACACAGACGAAAACATTTTAACTGATTACTCTTTCTCTGTCTATAAACTTTAAGAACCAGAACACAGATCATTTCCAATTTTATCCATCTGAAGATTTTAATAGCATGAACTTCTGTCATACCACTTATAAGGCAAAGCTAACTTAAAAAGACGCATAATATTATAAGCAATATAGATCTGCCAAATAATGCGGTCCAAATTTTTCAGTTTATAAACAACTATAAATTCCTATTTTACATTTGCTCCACGCAGATCTGTATGAATGTTTTCGTTATCGTTTTAATGTCAAAACAGATTTACAATGAATGTCTTTCGTTATTTTATCTCGGTTAACTAACTCATTTGGCACCGAATCCTGTCATCCCAGAAAACCATTTCCTGTCCATTTTTAGTATATAGAGCCTTTTACTGATACCAGATTAATGAAAGGTAGAGTTTAATTTATTTATTTATCTTCAAATTTATCTTCAAAAAGATCGACGTAAAGTGTCAAAATTACAAATTATTTTATTACATATGCCTGAAATACCGTTATGTTTTTTCAATTATATTCTGCTTCTCAGTTTTTCTATAAATGTCTGGAGTATTTGCCCTGTTTCCTGGAAAATTGGATCTGAAGGTACCTAAACGTTAGTCACTTTGCAAGAAAAAGATTAAAAGACTGTATTTCATAATCAAAAATCTAAATAGAGGAATTCATTTATTAAAATAAATCAGATTATATATAGACTTCATTATCGTTCTAGAATTTGTAAGAAGAAAAAGGTGTTTGTAAATAGGCTCTGTTTTGCAGTTTATGCAGTTGCTTATGCAGTTTATCTACAACAAAATACATCGACAGTAATGACTACAATTATTATACCGTTATTTGTAATTTCTTTCTTGTACGTGCCAAAACATGTTAAAAACGTTTCTGCCCATTTTAATAGCCACCACATTTCGCCAATAGGTTTTTCACTTTTTTTCAGCTTTATTATTTGGGTAAATGCATTTGCCATAAGTTGCTTCGAATTCAAGTTCTAATTTAATCATTGTACCCTTTTCGACTCATTGTTAGCAGGTTATGCTTTATAACAAAAATGCTTTTAAAGAATTTAGTATTCCTAGAAAATGTTTTATTCTTAGGAATAAAAAACCAGGAAGAATGTGTAACAACTCCAGATTTCTCGATAAAGAAAATCTACAACCGCCTACGTACACCTGAAAAAAGAGAAATGTGATAATAAAGAATATCTGATTATAAAGTGGTTTTGGAAGTTTTCTACCGATAATTATATGCCATACAGAGATCACTAAAATAATAATATACATGATGGTGCATGGAAAGGAGTGAATTTGTTCCTCATGCTTCTAAGTTAGTTCTGCCCAAACCATAAATATACAGTCTGCAAATATGAATCCTCTTTTTTTAAAGTTAGTTTTATCAATGGACAATTTACGAAAGAGATGTTCATCATTGCTCATATCAAAAGTTAGGGTTTAACTAAAATTTGAAAAAAGAAAAAGAAAGAAACTGTAGTTAAACTGCTCAAGGAACTGGATATAATCATAACTTTTTATGATTAATATTAATAGGTTTTTGAATACCTTAGGTAGTCTAGGCATTTTTTTTCCTTAGATCTACTTCATCAACCAGTATATTAATTGTGAAACAGACAGCTAATATAAACAAATTCGAAACTCAGAATTTTCCATATTAAAAAAGTCACTATTAAGAGCCTTACTGCGGGTACTAAAATGCATATTTGAGCTTAATTTTAAATTCATATTTATAGGAAAGAAACATTCTGACTTCTCCTCTCAAGACCAAGGCTTGAAGCATTCATCCATGTTTAACCGCATATTATTCTTCTTATGCTCGTCTCTTAATTTTCTATGACTGGAAACACTAGATACATTTTTTTTTATTTTCAATTATGATAGAAGTAAACTTGAGCATTTTAGGAACATGGCATTATTCATAGGGCAAAAATGAAACTATATTCAATTTTCAGCATATATAGCTTAGGATGCCTTCACAGAATGGCATGCGTATCATGTGTGACATAAGCAACTTTGTTGTTAGGTAAAAACACTGCATTAATACATGGTTCGAAGAGCAACATAGGAGTTGAAAGGAATCAACTTTATGCTTGTTAGCCAAGAAAGACTATGGTTTAAAGTGAACCGGTCAATGACAGCGAACAATGCGACGCCATTTTTGGACAACACAAATACTTTTTGTGGTGTTTAGAAATTTGTTCCTAGAACAATTATGATACTTAAGCCATAGTGTGATAGCATCCTCAGATGTCACAAATCATCTAAAACATCACTGTATTATAAAATACAATTTATATTGGATTCAATTTTAAGTATCCATTTCTCATGTAACAACAGGTGTTCGAAGCCTGACCACTAGAAAACCAAGGCAACGGCACTGTAGAAATATTTAAAAAAATCATCGGGGGATGAATGAAATAAAGAACACCGACGGTATCACCTGTATGAAAGAAGTGTTCAACATTCTCGAAAGAGAGACAGTTTTCGTTTCGTTCCTGTCGGTTTTTAACAACCAACGTTCGTCCACTAACGACTGATTGATCCACAATTGGAGTAATTGGAAGTGAATCCTCGTCCAGACTTGAGCACAATGAGAGATCTACGTAATAAGAATGAGCACTCTTCCAGAGTTCTGTTATCTTGTAGATAGCACCGTGCAATAGGTTGAATTCCCATCATCCCTTCAGTGGTGAGTGTTCACGTCGACCGAAGGGCAGTTTTGTTTCAGTGGCAATTAGTTCAAAGAGAATGTGACAGTCTGCTGCATTGCTGAAATGAATTCCATTGCGAGGGCACAGTTCAGTGATGGAAACCAGCTCTACTCTTAAAGTCAGCCTTTTTACATAATTTCTTAGAAAAGATTTTAATCACAGCTTAGTCACTTTCAGTATAAGAAAATTAATCAGAAATTAAAAGTTTCTTATAATAAAAATTGGCTGAAAATGAAAAAGAACTTCAGAAGAGTGACTGAATTCAAAGGAATTAAATATTTTTATAAGGCAAAAGCGAGAAAATAGATTTCGCCATAAATAATGTAACAAGATATGTATTATATGGGTTTAAAAACATCTTTTATTCATTATAAGAATGTTTCAAGCGTTGATTAAAATTGGGGAATATATTACATATTAAACTGGGCCGAACAAATATATTATTAAAAGCATAAAAGATTAAAATTGTTAAGAAGTATATTTTTTGTTCTTAAATCTCTGTTTGTTAAGCAATATAGTTATAGCGCTAAAAATAAATTAAATGTCTCATATTATATCAAATGGCAACACTATGGAAAATGGCTTGTTAATATGTTATGTAGTATATAAGTTAAAATGTCTTGCGATGGCAATGCTTGTCAAGTTGTAAGAATGATAAATGACACAGCCCTATAGTGTAACATAAAGTAACAAAATCCACTTTCTTAAAAACATTTCTAATGCTCTAACTTTTTACTGATGTCTGGTCTTCATCATAACTAGTTTTCTTACGAGCATTTTACTTTTCTGAAAACTAATTAAACATTCATTTTCACTCCTTCTAAGGAACTTGTCTCTATACCTATATAGTTTTGTATCTTTTGTATTATCTTTAGAATTTCTCTTTCATCTGTAAATGAGACCCACAAGACATTTTAAAGCCTTATCAGGCTGACTGATGCGAAATGCAACAGGAAACTTTATCTAAAAACGTGCTTCTTCAGAAATTTATCTGAAGAAATGACGCGCAATGTTTTCTTCAAGATCCAGAATGGTTCTTGTATTAGGTAAATTAGATAATCAGAAGTAACGTAACGGATGATCAAAAACTTCTTCCATCAGCTCGGGCGATGAAGGATTTCTGCTTCCTGATTCGACCTACCAGATGAAGACTGTGACATGGCTAAATGAGTAAATTTCCTGGATACATTTATGTTCAATTCAAAATTGTGGGAATTAGGTGTCGAATTCATAAGGATCCTTTACCCTCACTGATGATTCTGCTATTTTTAGCCTGGTACACTTGACCCAAATTTATGCATTTAAAATTTCATAGCATCATAATATTGGCATTAAATGGTCAAAAGGTAACGTCAAATTCCAGAAAATAGTTTTTAGAATTGGGAAAATAGGAGGGACGGATTCTTGGTCTGAATTCTTAGATACAAAAAGGGGAAAAACTCCAGCCATTGTTTTTCAATGTAGGGCAAATTTTTATGGGAATGAAATTCTCTGTATCAGATCTTTTAAGCAGGCAATTTAAGTTTTTGAGAGGGAGTGTCGGAATATTACTAATAAATATGAATAACACTTAAGTTATTTTATGTTTAAATCTTCTGTCAGGAAAATTATAGTTTACCTTTCTTATAAACTTTATAAAGGAGCTCAAAAAATGTGCATAATAATAATTAATAGAGATATATAAAAACATTTTATTCCAAGGTTCCCAGAAGCATTAGTATTTTTCAGCTATAGGATTATGAAACGCATTACTGGTGTGTGTTATAATGTTTGTGTTTATATACGTATTTTATGCTATTTAGTAGATCTAATATTTTCTATAAAATGTGTTATACATTTACCATAGATCCATAATGCATTTTATTCTGACGCAGGCCGTACCAAATTGTCAACATCTGCAGTAATAAGTCTGCATTTTTCATTTGGCGGTAAAAATCTTCTCAATAAAAATTAACTCTCTCAAAATCAAAGCAGATGTCTGAATAAATTAATTACAGAATATCTAAGAAGACTGTTAACCCTAATAAAATGCTTCTTACCTCTGGTTCAAAGGTGAAACAGATAATTTCTTTGTTCGAACATTTAAGCTGTTATTATACAAATTCCGTCAAAGTAACCAGCGAAGAAAAAAGATATTGCTAGACTTCCCAAGCGATCCTGATTAACATTTCCTACGACTGAACTTATGCAATGTAAATAAAATGCTCAATGCCTAATTGCCATCTAGGCTCATAACCCCGCCCCCGAGCTTAGGCATACAAATTTTAGAGAATTTCGAAATAATCCCAATCTTCCTAATCTTATTATTCTTCATAAAGCAAGAAAAGTGGCATTGTGGTGCTTGAAAGAATAGTTTTCCTCGGGGCTCCAGATAGTCTTAATTGAACCCGAAAATAAAGCTTCTTGAATATGATTTGTGGGGTGGTCTGTCAACATTGAGACTATTTCTTCACAAATTTTGTGGACCAATAACAGATGTACATTGATACGGTAGTCATAAACAGATAGGTAGATTAGCTCATGGAACGCTTAAAAATGCAAAGAGATAAAGGCAAAACTTCTCCCGTACTACTCTCTTTAATACGCAATATTTTAAAGGGGATCTTTCTCCTTCCTTAACGTCTAATTCGTGTTATAAATGAAAGCACGTCAGGCCAGCAGTCGGGAAGTTCGAATCCCGGAGAGAGCATTGCTGATTTTTTGACGTATTCATTTTCTAAAAATTCTTAATGGCTAAAGTGCTTAAGTCACTTTCGGTATTTCGTTTTTAAAATTTTGTTCAATCACTTCTTATGCTTCTTTTTATTACAATTTTAAATTGCTTAATACTTTAATTTTTAAAAGGTTTAAAATATTTTGAGTTTAGAACTTGTATTTTTCTTCTTTTTTTTTTTTTTTTTTTGAATATTTAATTAACTTTTTGCAGTGTACGTTCTTAGTTGCAGTTTACAAAAAAGTGTGCTTGAAAGTTATTATTATAAAATTGAAATGAACTATGAAATTATAACTATGCGTGGCAGACTTGTATTATTTGTAGTATTTGCTTACACACGCATATATATGCATATATAAATGCACATATGTATATATACTTAAGAAAAAATGCATAATTCACTGCAGAAACGTTCCTCAAAATAAAAATATGACATTCATTTTAGTTTCTAAAGGACCAACTAATGGTCAAATGTAAAAAGTACTGAACACTAGTAGTTCGACTCGACTTTAAATCCAAGAAAATGGACTAACAGTGTAAGAGTTTTCATGATTTCCTTAAATGTAAAAAAACTATGATCCAGTTTCTGTTAGACAGTTTTCCGGAGCCGTAGTCCTCCTGTTAGACCAATAGCTTCGTTCTGAATTGCCGTATTCATTTCAGTAATAAGTTTGTGACGAAGGTTTGTATTTGCAAAGAAAATAGCTCAATTCGTACAATTTAAATACATCTAGAAGTGTTAAGCATGAAATGACGCTTCTGACATTGAGCTGGAAGACCCGTTTTAAAATACTAAGAATACTTAGACAGAATAAAATGTTGTCTTTAAAAGTGATTTACTCTGAAGACAGTAATATATATCCCACAAGTAAAACATGAATCCCATGGAAGTAAATGTAACTTTCCTCAAGGGTCTCAAAAAATTTATGGGAACTTTCGAGTGCATATGCAAATTTCACATTGTCTTATTTCCAACATTATAGTAAATCATGCAAGCATTTTCGATTCATTCATATAAATTTCAGTCTACTCTCTGAATTTAAGAAACAGTCTTCTTAGCAAAAATGAGTAGTTTCTGACATTTTTCAGATTGCTGTTCTTTGCACATATGTTTTATACCCCTCATTTAGACCTTGAAAAATCCAGACTGGGCTTATTTATCCGTTTTCCTATGGAGATAAAAAGGGAAATAAAGTTTCTTGACGCTTGTTTTTATTCATTTCTAATCTGCATCGAGAAATTTGGATTCAGACCTGTGTAAATTGTTCCACAGAATGATATGCGACTGTAAAATGATCTCCGGTACGTAGGAAAGGTGTTTTGAAAGAAATGCTAATTGGTGGCTAACCACCCTTTTTTTTTTTTTTTCTTTTTGTTTCATTGTGCGGTTAAAAAATGTAATAATAACTATACCAAGGCAGTCAGATGATAAAATTAAACTTATTGTTCAGACCTTTTTTATTTATTGTTCAGATCTTCAGCTTCGTAAAAGAGACAAACTAAGGGAAGTAATAATAAGGTTTGTTCTTGTTTCTTCGGAAGTGCTTAGTTTTAGAATTTTAAACAGCATTGCCATCGCAAGATAATAGACATTTTAAGTTAATTTTATCTCTTTCGAGCAAGGAATTAACATCATTCCATTTTTTAACGCTTTGGAGGAGTGTTAATGCTTTCAGTTTGCGGTTTTTGTTCTCTTTGAATAAAATCAAAAGTTTTTCCCAATCGATGAAGTCTAAGGTTTTTCACTTATTGCATAAAAACACGTTGCCCTAAAAGTTATCTATCTAAAAAAACGTTTTTTGCCCTTCTTAATAACATTTTGCAATAAATATTATTTTACGCTACTGGTGTCATAAACAAACTACAAGTAGGTTTTCTAACATTCTAATTAATCAATTGCAAAATTTGTAACTCTTTTAAAAAATTATGGGCTGAATCCAAAATTAATTCAATAGTTATAGGAAACTTTTCTAATAACATAAAAACTGCAATTCTCTCTCTATGTAATTCTTCTGTTAATTTCTTTGAAACGCACATTTAAAAATCAACATCTATTTTTAATAATTCGATATTTACATATTGATACCGTTCTTCGCTCAAAAAGTAAAAACAGAAAGAAACGACAACGCTTTCAATAAGGATTTTAAAAAATGAGTTTTTTATTTATTGAAAAATAAATATTTAGTTTTATAATTTGGCAACGACTGATATTGTTTCTATTTATTTAATGGTAAACTCTCTCGCCTGAGATATTAGACTGTAATCTGAAATTTTCAGAATGCATATTCTTGTTTCTCTCCCTTCCTCTCTTAGCCTCTTGATGAGCTCAGATAATTCGCAGCTTGGAAACTGACTCAAGCTTTTGCTTCCTGTATCCCAAAGCATAAACTTAATGATTTTTCAATGATTAAAATGTTATACATTATTCTTAACTACTCGCTTATCCTGAGTTATATTCCATAATATTAAATGAAAGTGCCCACTGCGAGGTGTTCATTTCAGCATGTACGTAGAACTTGTCACAAGTTCTTGAGTTTGTCAAGTTTCTGTACGGAGGAAAAATAGAATTTTTTTTCTCGCCTTTTGAATGAGTGTGGAGGCAGCACTGTTAGCTGGCACTGGAAATTCATGAGCCTTTTTTCAGATCATTTTCCTACAAAGAGAAAAAAATATATTTATTACGCAGTTTTAAAATCAAGAGAAAAAAAATCTGATACGGACACCACATGACTTCTCTCTGCGGCCTATTAAATAATGCGCACTTTTTTTGTTGCACATCATTTAAATTTATTTCTGTTTTTTTTTAATCGGGACCGGATTAAAAAATAAAAAATGCATGCATGTATGTATGCGTGTGCACGTATGCACATATGCATACGTATTTACATACATATATGTATATGTATATATATATATATATATATACCATATGCTGTATGATCTTAAATTCGTTTAGTGCGAAAACAAGTTACTACTACTTGCGCAATTGCTGCAAAGTAAGTTAATAATAATTTATTTAATAAATAATATTGATTATATTATCTCCTTAGTTAAAGTAGAATTGTCTGAAAAGATTAGTTTACCGAGCCTTCAAAAGAAGTGGAAAATTACATCAAAAATTGTAAATTTTGAAATTAAATATCCTGGTAAATTTTTGCCATACGGGAGTTAAACTTCTTGTAATCTTATTTTTTAATGACGAGCATAAAACTTAACCCCAAATATAAGTATAGGAAACAAGAGACCACATTAAAAGTTACATTTCATTATTTGTAAAAAATTATTGTTTTAAAAATTTTACATTTCCAAAACATGAATATTTTCTTTATTTAAAACATTTCTGTAATTGGAAGCATATGACTACGACCAACATTTGGGAAAATTTATGCCGGGTAAGAACTTTGAGACAGATAAGGATGATGGATGCCTATATATATATATATATATAAAATTGCAAAATTATTTTTAAAAACAAAATATAATCATGGCTACTATTTTTGCGCATTGAGCTGCTGAAACATTATCAGTAAAGACATAAAGTAAGAAATTTATAACTAATTTTTCGCAAAGACCAAAAAATGAAATCCATAAGCAACAAATTTCAAATAATCCTATAAATGCAATAAAGAATTTAATAAATGCTTCAAACAAGCATGACCCAAATTTAAAAAAATCAATGAAATTTAAAGAAAAACGAACATAATAGATAAGGAATTCAATCAACTTGAATGTCACTTCATCAGGAAGAGGAACATGGAAGTATTCATGATTTAAACTTTTTGATAAAAGAAAAGATTTTAATTTTTCAACTATTATAAACTGGAACTCCAACATATTTAAAAAGTAATTGCAAATACTATTAATAGCAGAATTAAAAAAGTTTACACTGAAATAGAAACACAAAAAGAAGTTCTAATTCTTGTTTAAAAAAAAAAAAAAAAAAAAAAAAAAGAAAGAAAGAAAAAAAAGAAAAAAAGAAAAAGAAAAAACCAAAGAAATACCTGTAAAATTCATTAATAGTCTTTTAAAAAAATCTGGAGTAGTCTACACCATATAATACTTTTTTTAAAAGTATGAATTTTTTATCTGAAAGCTCCAAAAGAAAAGGATAAAGAAGGATGTTTTAAAGGGTTTACGGGATGTTTTATATACTTTTTTTCCTCTTAATTACTATTTTGTTATTAAAACTTTTTTTTATTTTGATTTCCAATGGCTAGGCGAAAAGTTACAAAGAACTAAAATCTTACAACAGAGGATTACAAACAGTTAAACTAAGAACAAAAAGACCGAAGTTATTGCCTAAAGAGCACTCTTGCCTCCCAGTATCTCGACTCTTCTGTAATCGACGAAGAAGAGCCCCACATCGAAGCAGGTGGTCCCTGTCCATTTCTTTTCCAGAATTACAAAGTGGGCGCTTGAAATGACTATGCAGTGCAGGTGGGCGGCAAGGCAATCATGCCTTGTAGACAAACAAAAAGCTGCAACTGCATTGCGTCTTGGACTATCGGTAACAAGAGAACGACTTATCATTCTCCAACTTTTTAACGCTGTACGAGTCCAAAAATCTCGTAAGATATTAGGCGTAAATAAACTTTTTAAAAACAGTTTAATCTTTCAATAGGAAACGGCTGTATTAAGATGTTGCAGTAAGCTGGCAATTGTTTTTGCAAGTAAGTCCGCTTGTTCATTGCCTCAGAGGCTACAATGGCCAGACACCCACTAGAGAACGATTTGTATCCCTTTTAAAGTGAGAGTTCTCAGGAATTCTTGACATTACAAAATTTCAGGTGTTAATTGGATGTTCAATAGAGCTAGTTGACTGAATGGCTTCTTGAGAATCAGAAAAAATAACTGCCTGTGCAAAATTGTAATGAATAGCTAATAACTGCTGAATGGCTCCTTCTCGTGGTGCACCCTGGAAACGCTTTGCGACTATGTGATCTACAGTTTTGGCATGCGGCCTTCCTACTTTTCGTCCTGTTATTAAAACAAGGGCCTCCTATATTCAAAGTCGTCATGATAATCCCAAGACGCTAAGACTTTTTACTTTTCTAATAATAGTTCCTTTCCTTTCAAGCTTTCTGTTAGCTTTTTCTGTAATTTTAAATAAAAAGTTTTAAAAATCTAAAATTTAACTTTATGGGTTTTTCTAATCATTTCTGCAAAACAATTATTAAAAATTTTTTGACCACTTTTTGGGCACCCTTTTTGAGTCTACTATTTTTAAAGAACAATTGATTCTAATATTTAATTAAAGTTTTACATTGAAGGACATTCTTTATTCTCATCTTTTTTTTAAGAGTCAGAATTTATTTAAATTTAATTTTAATTAATAATTTTTTTTCTTTTTCGAAATTAAAATTTTAATAGAATTGTTAAAAGTTTTTTTTTTTTTTTTTTTTTTTTTGTTTTGTTTTAAAATTCTATCTTTTGTTCCAATTTTTAGCCTTTTGAGCAATTACTTTCTCGCCACAATATTTTAGTTTCGCCAATGAAGACAAAATGGCAAATCTAAACGTCACTACTGTAACGATCTTATTCATAATTTTGATTGTGTTCTAAATGAAAGTGCTTGAAGTTTTTAATTACTTCTTGTGAGTTTTAATTAAGTCTTTTCACTAAAGTCTTATAATTTCACTTACGTTTTAAATTCTTTGGATTATGTGCTCTTTGTTTAAAGATAAAATTTTGATTTGAATTTATCACTGAAGTATTTTAATATTTCACTTACGTTTTCAATTCTTTAAATAGAATTCTCTTAATTTAAGTATAAGATTACAATGAGAATTCACTTTGTTTTTTCTTTGGCTTGGGGAGGGGACATAATTTTCGGATGAACTATTATGATTAAAATACATTGAAATGGTTTATCGGCTAATTCTGGATGCAGAAAAGCAAGGATTTTTGTGAAAGAGAGATTTCAATTGATTTCAGTGTTCCTCCTCCTGATGAAGTGGAATTGAAATAGATTCAATTCCTCTTCTATTATGTTTGTTTTTCTTTAAATTTCATTGATACTTTTGATTGGAGTCTTGGTTGTTTGAAGAGTTTTGATTTTAACATTTATTAAATTCTTTATTGCATTTGTAGGATTATTTGGAATTTATTACTTATGAATTTCAATTTTTGTCTTTGTGAAAAATTAGTTTTAAATTTCTTACTTTATGTCTTTACTTTATTTCTTACTTTATGTCATTTTTACTTTTAGAACTGCTGATAGCAATGAAAAGGGAAGTGCACAATTAAATTTTATAGCAGTTCCAAGTACAAAATTTCAATGTTCTGCTATTAACCGTTTTTGAGTTGTGCGAGTTACAGATATACATACGTACAAACGTCAAGAAAAAAAAACCTCTTTTGAATCCAGTTTAAATTCATTTTACAGTCAGTTTTGGGGAAAAAAAGTCCTTTATTGTGTCCATATGTACAGACTCTACGCACAAAAATCGTCCAAATTTATTCGAGAAAGGTCAAAATGGATATTTCCGTTGAAATATGATACCAGAAATATTTCGTGATTACAATACTTTCTTTATTTCGTACAAGGAAGTAAAAATATCCTTAGTCTAGGATGCTCAGGGAAATCTGTTTTCCAATTTAATACGGGTTTTAGTTTAACTGGGGAAAAAAAAAAAAAAAAAAAAAAAAAAAAAAAAAAAAAAACTTTTTTCTAGCTTTATTACACTTACAGAGAAATTCGTATCAAATCATACTAAATAACGCTTAAAACGCAGCTCTAAAAATAGAGTCTTATTAGGAATGCGAAACTAAATAAATGAAAAGAATGTGTATAGTATAGCTCCTCCTTTTCAGATTGAAAGTTGAAAGGCAACTAGCTGAGCTGTAGATGCTCTTGGATACAGGAATCCTGTCCCCTCTACTAGGTTTTAGAAAAGGAGATATATGATTGGACAAGTAAGTTATTATTTCTACAACTGCTCTGTTTGACAAATAGAGGTTTGCTTTGACGGGAAGGCATGAAATACGATAATATATTTGATTACTTAAAAATGACACTTTTTTCCTGTTCTGCAAGTTTTCACAAGCAGCGTAAAGAAACTCATCAGACATTTTCGAGCATTTTTTTTCCTTCCTATTGCTATTTTTTAAAATTTTGTTGGGTTAAAAAAAATATCGGGGTATTTAGTATTTTTTAAAGGCAACATATCCATTTCTAAGAGAAATTACTTTATTATAGTATTTTGAAGTCCTGGTTTTATTTTTTTTTTTTGATAGGATTTATTACATTTTCGTTTGCTGAAGGTTTCGAAATTTTATCTCAGAATATCTCAGTTACGCTCTCTAGCTCTAGCTGTATGCATTCATTTTCAATTACATATTCAAAAATATTTTCAGCAGAACAGCAGAAGGAGATTATCATTGGCACAGAGTATCTTTACGCTCATAATGATGTTTTAACAAATGCAGCCTCTGCAAAGCCAATATGTTTTCTTTTTCTGGGCGTGACAAAGAGACATACATACCTAAGCGTCATCAGAGGGAAGCAGTCGGAACTGGAGGCCAGTTCCCGTGAGGCCGTTGTCATAGTCTGTCTTCCAGGTGATTGGCAGTCACTTCCACAAGTTTCTTCCTCTGTTGATACTGGCTATACTGGCAATGCGGCAAGTGATGCAAATAACCTGCGGGAGATTATCAGAAACTATGTGAAATTTATTGGAATCATATTGAATTCCAGAATGTTCAGCCACATTGACAAATAAAAGGCAAGCACATACACATGCACTAGAAATCATTTCAGCGAAATATGTGAGAAAATTGTTCGTATAAATGAAGGCTATAAATTAAGGTTCTTAAACATCCCCAATGTTTTGTCTTTAATTTTGCTGTGGAATCTTATAAAACTTCTTTTGGTGATGTATGAGTACACTGCAGTGGAAACACGATAAAATAAACGAAATATATTGCAGTGTAGTAATATATTTTAATAATACAGTTTTAAGTAATATATTTTGAATGAATAGAAGAGTAAGCAATCTAAGAAGTCATAAAGTGATCACTTCTTAGTTCTTATTTTGAATTTTTATTTTTTAAAATTTCTTACTGCGCTAAAATAGACACTATCGACTGCTTATATCTGGTGATCTTCGTCATAGAAGGAATTCTTTTATCAGTTTGAGTTATAAGGTATTTCTCCGGCCTTCTTAGCGTGCCTTCGTGGTGGGGTGGTCTGCACAATGGACGCGGATTCCAGAGGTCCGTGGTTCGATTTCCGGCGAAGGCGTTGCTCATTTTTCAAATCTACTGCTTCCAAAAAATACTACAGGTTTCCAAAAAATACTACAGGTCTCTACAGTGTTAATCACAATGACGCACGTGAGATTAACGTATAATCGAAATTTTATTTTAACATTTGAGGTGAAAAACATTTTTTAGTAAAAATAACTTCTTTCTGAAATTGAAAAACACATTTTTATAAAATAAAAAATTTATGTTTCCTTTTTTCATAATTAAAAAACAAATATCTAAAAAAAGACATAATAATTTTTGAAGGCTCGATACACAGAACGATGTTTAAATTTATTTATTGAATATATTTATGAAGTAAGCTTTAGCAAAGTTTTGGGAATAACGGTAAAACAGATGCTAAATAAATTGAAAAGGGAATTTTAGTCTTTTTCCGTATAATTTTGTCTTAAGCATACAGTCACTTGATCAAAGTTTTGTAGAGGTAAGCCTCAATCTACTCAAATCGGTTTTCATTTTGAATCCTCTTATAATTTTCCATTCAGATGTTAGTGCTTTTTGTATACAAGCCAGTGCTGATTTGTTCTCGTTACGTCAGAGAAAAGGAGAGGATCTGAAGGAAAAATTTGATGTTTTTAATAAGAGTTAAAATATATATCGAAAGAAAAACTATTAACGGTGAAAAGTGTAACTTACTATTCATGTTAGTATATATATTTTATTCAATTACGTATTTGTGCATGCTCTCTTAAGATATTCTTTGTAAATATTCTTTTGGAGATTTTACCGATTTCTGACATCGAACATTTTTTTAACGTACATAATTCGCAATGACAAGTTTTATACGACCGGATAGTGCCTCAGGCACCAGCCACACTTGTGTCGCGAGATTTTACTTCAATGTACGCAAAAGAGATGCGTTGCCACTCCCGGATTAAAATATTTTTATCTTCCACTCCTCATTGTGCTGTTGTTCGGTAAAACGTAAGATATTTAACTTTTCCCTCAACTATTAATTAACAAATTAAGCCATTTAAAAAGCAGTAAACGCAGATTCATTTTAATTATTATTAATTACCACCTGGACGCCTGAAATTACATTAGTTGTTTTCATTAAAATCATTACATATTTTTTATTTTTTGTGTGAGCTATTTTTAAGCAGCTGGCCGTGAAAGCGGCTGTTAACAGAAATAGTGAAAAACCTTATTTATTATGAAATTGAAGAATCAGATGAACAAACCAGTTAGCAATGCGAAACATGTAATAAATTAAAAATTTTTAAAGTATTTTGTAGTTGTAATAATTATCGTAAAAATTTTAGATTAATTTATGAGTCAGAGGTTTGCGAAGTGACTTTAGAAGAGAGAGGTTTAACTGTATCAGTTAAATATATTTTAATTAATATCTACCAGATATATTATTAAAAAATAAAACTCTTAAACATTATAAACCAAACAATTTTATAGATACTTTCCTTCAGAAACATCTTTCATTAATTACGATAACAGTGAAAACGTTTACAAAAAATCTGATGTGGTCACGACGACTTCCTTGTACGGTCTATTAAATAAGCTTTTTAGAACAACAATAAACTGATATCAAATATTGTTAGACTAACTATATATATGGATTATTGGATTATTCATTTATGGCAAAGCAAGGGCTTTCTGTCTAAAGGGAGGGATGCCTTCGTGGAGGACTTTCTAAGGGAAACTGGCTCGTATACACGTTACACATGGCGAAAACCACGAAAACGCTCATGCAGCCAGCCCGTTCGCCCGTTTTCGAACCTCAAACTATATATATGAACTGTTATTATGTATGTAATAAAAACAAACTTAGGAGCAATGACTAGTAGAAATTTTGATGGCGTAGAAGTGTTGATTCATAATGACAGGATATTGGAGGCGAAGGCAGATTAAATCTTAATTTTTTTAAATTTCAGCATACATGTTCAAACACAATCAAGTTGGCACACAGCAAATAAACACAATCAAGTTGGTACATTAATTGTGCCTGTCCCAAAAAGAGGCTGCAGTCCAGCTAAGCCAAAGCCTAGGAAGCAAGTGTGTAATGTTCAGGATGAAATCTTTGACTGAGTTAGTTTTGGTTCTCAGTGCATTTTGATTGGATAGTTAATATTGCTTTAAAATTACTATTGGCTGCTTGAGGTTTTAGTTCCATTTACATCACCAGAATTATGTGAGAGTCATATGACATAGATTTTTCTCGAAATGACGAGGTGTAGAGAGAGGTTACTATTTTTAGAATAGGAAAGGGAAATCAATTTACGCAGCTAATTTAATCTTTTACATATTCTTTATTTCTTGCATTCCTATTTGCAGGAATTTTTTTTTTTTTTTTAATCTGACATTGCCAAAACAAGAATATTTTCGTCATTTAAAGCACTTCTGTAACTAGAAGTATATGTCTATGACCAATGATATCGAAAATAAAGTCTGGGTAATAGATCCAATTTACCTACTACTACTTTTCTTGAATGGAAAGCTGCACTAATTAAAGAATTTCAACTTTTGCTTTTCAAGTGGCCTAATTTCAATTCTTTGCACAGTAAAAATCATCTAGAAAATCTTATTCAAAAACTGCAAGATAACTTTATCATCACGAAGATTGACAAAGCTAGCAACAATTTTAGTGTTATTTGAAAAAAGTTTTACTTCGACCTTCTGCATAATGAATTGAATAACACTTGCACCTACCAAAAGATTACTACCAGCACTAAGATTCTTCTCAATAAATTTAATGCATTACATAAAAGACTTAAAATACATCCCCGGAAATATAATAACAGGTTTGCAAATCTCTATGCACTACCAAAATTTCATAAGTCTCTGATAAAATTCAGGCTCATTGCCAATAGTACCAAAAGTTATCTTAAAGAAATAGATCATCTATTTGCACAAAAACTACGCCTAATACGTGACCTCATTAATGACTATGATTTTAAGGGTCTGCATTGCAACTGGATGATTGCAAGTAACGAAAAAGTTCTAAAAACTGTAAATACACTTAAAATAGAACATATCCAATGCTACGACTTTGAAAACCTCTATACTACATTACCACTTAAAGAAATTTTTAAAAGTTTACTTGCTCTTCCTGATTTATTTCCGCAAATCTCTACAATAATAAATACCGAAAAATGGCAACTTTTTCTCTCAAGCGTACTTTTCAATAATTTTATTCAATTTAACAATAACATCTTTAAACAAATACAAGGAATTCCAATGGGAGGTAATTTTTCAAGTTCTGTCTGTGAATTATTCCTTTTTACAAAAGAATTGACCTTTATACGTTCACTCAGTAAGGAAGAACATAAATTTTACCAACACGTCAATATATTGATGATGCCTTTAACAAATTCAACAAAATAGAAAGTGCTAATATCTACCCTACATGCTTAAAACTAAATAATACAAATACGGTGCAGCATAATGTAGTCTACCTTGATTTACATATTATTGATTACAATTTATTAAAAGTTTACGATAAAAGAAGAGAATTCAATTTTTCAACACTAAAATTAACCAACTGGAATTCAAATATATCCAAAAGAGTCATCCAAAACACAATCTATTCACAGCTTCTTAGAATTAAAAGAATCTGCAATACAGCAAAACACCATCAAGAAGAAATATTTCGTGACAATCTTGAAAAATAACCTCATTCCCCAAAAAGTCATTAAAAATACCTTAAAAAAAAGCTGGCATTAGCCTTACTAATTTTTAGATTTTTTGAGTTAAATAATGATATTTTATACTTAAAACCCAATGGGACGGTATAAAGTGGATGGCTGATTCTGAGAATCTGTTGTATAGATGTACAGATAATTCTTGTCACTACGTTTTCTTTCCTCCAAAAATTTGGTACAATACTTTTAATACTATCGTTTAAATAGTTTTAAATTACTTTGATGGCCAATTCTACTACTATTATTAACAAACGCGCTTTTTCTGTACATGAAGCTTGATCGCCCTCTAGTTTGAAGAATTACGACTTTTATTAACAAATGACATTTTTTTCATTTTTCTCTTAATTTTGTGGCCATGATAAGTAATTTTTAGTTGAATTAGCCATTTTCGCTTTTGCACCAGTCCTCATTCTTTAAACTACTTGACAGACGCCATTTTGAACTTTTTCCACGTCTTTCGCCCCCCTTTGGCTTTAGGCGGGTTCCCGCTAACGGACAGTCTTTTGACATTGGCTATTGCCCAGTGACCTTGTTTCCCCCTTCCTACGTCACACGACAAGTTGGAGAGCAGTGAAAAGCGCGGAGGGGAATTACAACCCCTTTTTGTTTTACTCCACGCAAGAGAAGACAGCATTGCCACAGGTCTGTTTTTTTAATATTTCTTTAAAAAATTTTCCTTGGTCTTAGCAAGACCCACGCTGTTGGTTGTTTTATTT